ACTCCAGTAGCACTCGCAGGACTAGCACCTCCGAGACCGGCGGCACCAGCACCCTCAGCAGCCGAAGAAGCACCAGCTCCAGTAGTACGCCTCCAGCGCCGGGCAAACCACTCGCGCAGCTCCTGTGGAGAGAGTGGCTCCCGCCGAGACGAAGCACCCGGAGAACCACCAGGCCCAGCATCGCCAGACGCCACACGAGCAGGTCCAGCGGCCGTGGGCTCCGCACTCCAAGGCGCAATAGCTCCAGACTCAGCACCCCCAGGCTCAGCAGCTCCAGACGCAGCACCCCCAGGCTAAGGACCCCCAGGCTCAGCACCCCCAGTCGTAGCACCCCTAGACTCAGCACCCCCAAGCTCAGCACCCACTCGCGCAGCACCCCCAGAGTCAGCACCCCTAGGCTCAGCTCCTGCAGCAGTACCAGAGTCACCAGCAACCTCGACCGGCTCGACTGCATCTACCTGGGACACACTTGAAGGGGCAGGACCCTGAGGGGGGAGGGGGTCTACCGGGGGGGGACCTGGCACAAGGAAGTGCGGTGGCGGGGGGAGGGACGGAGTGCGGTAGGGGAAGAGGCGGTAGTAGGGGACCGACTCGTCGAACGTGACGTCCTGGGAGGACAGAACATGACGAGAGGTGGGGTGGTAGAACTACCACCCAGGGGCGTCAGGGGGGAAGCCAAGGAAGACACAGGGAGCAGCACGAGGGGACAGCTTGTCCGCAGACAAGTCGCGGACAAACGCCCGAGATCCCCAGACACGGAACGCAGACGCATCGCCGACCTTCCCTGTCCACAGCAAGGCTGGGGAGCTCTCCGGCCTGGAGACCCTGGGGTGAAGGTTGATCTGATGCGCCGCGTACCGAACCGCAAACGGCCACAGAAAATGGGGGGCAGCCGCATGCATCATGGACGTACGAGCGACGTCTATGACCATGCCAATGCGGCGCTCAGCAATCCCATTTTGCTGTGGAGAGTCCGGAAGCGTAAAGGTCTGGCGGATGCCTCGCGCACGACAGTAGGCTCGCAGAAGGCCAGAGAAGAACTCTCTGCCTCGGTCAGAGTGCAGACGCAGAACAGGAAAGTCCGAGCCAAAGTTCCTCCTGAGCTGGAGACGAGCTGCGCAGATCCAGTCGATCAACACCTCAGCGACATCACCCTTGCTGCGCAAGGGGAAGACTGTGGTGTAACGCGAGTAGTCGTCAACCACCAGCAGGAAGTAGCGCTCCTGACCCTGTCCACGGACGCGGGCCGGGCCCCACACGTCCATGTGAAGCGTCTGCAGCGGGGCCTCTGTCGGAGGAAACTGAGAGGAGTGAGGGGCAGCTCAGAGCCGCCCCTCGACACAGGGGACACATGAAGGACCAGGCCCCGGGGGAAGGGGAGGGAGGGACCGGGGAAGACCAGAGACAAGGACACGGGAAGCCATGCCTCGGAGACGAGGCAGGGAGGGGTGACCAAGACGGTGGTGCCAGAGGAGAGTCTCGTGAGACAGAAGACGACACGAGCAGGGGGCAGACTCAGGACCAGACCTGGACACTGCAGCAAACACCTGACCCGACGCTGCTACCTGACCAGACGCAGTGACTGGAGGAGACGCAGTGGTCAGTGTGTACAGGCTCGACCCCGGCCGACGTGTAAACGTGGCCAGGTGTCGGCCTGTCCGAGCGTCCGTGCAGTGGGTCACCCGCTGACTTGCAGGAGTGAACTGGTGAACCCCCGTATCCTGCAGGTCAGCACCACTCACCAAGTTCGTAGAGAACGAGGGGAGGTAAAGACCAGACAAGGTGCCAGAGGGGGCAGCCGGACACGGGAGGACAGTGGAGAAGTGAGAGAGGACAGGACCCCGAGAGGGGTCTGCCAGGGAGACTGCAACTGGCCGACCAAGCGGCGTGAGTGTGGTGCGGTCTCGAAAGAAGGAGCGAGAAGCCCCTGAGTCAAGTGTGAAGGTGAGGGAGGCCGAAGCCGACGTGGTACCTGAGAGCTCAGACTCACAAGTACCTGAGGGCGCGGACGCACTGGCACCTAGAGCAGCAGCCTCACCAGTACCTAGAGCAGCAGTACCAATGCCCGGGTCGGGCGGGAAACACCGGTAACAGTCACCCTCAACACTAATAGTCACAGCATACATGGCAGCAAGGATAGCATCAAAGTCAAGATCAAAGATAGCTACACCTGCCCTAGACAGCTCTCCCCAGCGGGGAATCTCACTAGCCTCCGGAAACTGCTGACGCTAAGCGTCCGTCAGGCGGCCAAAGCAGCGCTGGGTGGGGTGAGCACCCCCACACTGCTCACCCGCGCGGTCGCCGGAGCGAAGGACGTAGGTGCACGGGCCAAAACCCCCACCACGCTGACGCTGCGTGTACCACTCACGGAGCTGCTGAGGAGGGGGGATGTCCCGAGAACGCTGCTGCTGCTGCTGCTGCTGGCGCTGACCACTCCTGGAGCCGCTCCGCTGAGAAGCACCACCCCGACCAGCTCCACCTCCTCCACCACCGCCGCCTCCACCTCCGCCGCCACCGCCGCCTCCGCTCCCACCGCTACCGCCACCGCCGCCTCCGCCTCCGCCGCTGCCACCGCCACCTCCACTCCCGCCACCACTCCCACCGCCACCCCCACTCCCCCCGCCGCCCCCACCGCCACCTCCACCACCCCCGCTAGCCCCACTCGTGCCCTTGCCCCCTTTGCCCTTGCCAGAGCGGCGTCTCCCGCTAGGGGCAGACGCCGCACCGACCGACTCAAGACCAACGAGGTCGGCCATAGCAGCAGAGGCGACAGAGGGCAACAGGGGGGAAGGGGAACACCCCTCAAAGATGGGGGTGCGAGGGTCACCACGAGAGGCTCCTACAGCGACTATGCTCTTCTCCGCTGCTAGGAGGGCCTTCTCTAGGAGGTCAACAGTGAGAGTGGTGGGACAGACTGAGAGGAAGTGGTCCCTGACTACACGAAGGGAGTCAGGGAGGCGGGTGACTATATAATAGAGTGTGATGTACATGGGGGGGGGGGGGGGGTTCTTGGCGCAGAACTCAGCAGGAAGCGCGGTGCGGTAGCGAGTGTCACTAGTGCGGAGGTGCGTAATGAGGTCAGCGACTGTGGGAAAGGCAGCAAGGTCAGGAAAGAGGTAAGGTAGCATGAGGCGGCTCAGTGCAGCAGTGGCAGGGGAGGAGTAGCGTGCAACGACAGCGTCGTACAAGGTCTGAGCACTCTTGTACTGGCTAAAGTGCGCGCGCTCAGTGGTAGGTAGGCGGCGACGCACAGCAAGACGTGCAGCAGCATCGCGAGTGGCCCACTGGGAGCGAACAGTGGCGTCGGCATCGGCAGCAGGGGCAGGGGAAGCACCAGAGGTGAGGTCAAAGAGGGAAAGACCGTCTGCCCTATCGCACTGTAGGAAAAGCTGCAGGTCATCCACCCAAACCTCAAAGTCAATGGCTCGACCCTCAGCGTCAAAAGCGAGAACACTGGGGGTAGCCATGACAATAGTGGACTAGGAGTACCAACAGTAGGACAGGGGCAGTGCAGTGACAGAAGCGCTGCTCTCACCAGGCAGGGCGGGTCGGGCAGCTCAGCGGTACAGCAGCACGGCAACACGGCTGCTCGGACGGCACTGCAGCAACTGCAGCTCCGTGGCACCAGCGGCTCGGCTCCTCAGGCGGCTCGGGCGGCTCAGGTGGCTCGGGCGGCTCAGGCGGCTCGGGCGGATCGGGCTGGTCGGGCGGCTCGGGCGGCTCAAGAGAGTCGGGCGGCTCGGGCGGTTCGGGCAGCTCGGGCAGGTCGGGCGGCTCGGGCGGCTCGGGCGGCGCGGGCGGTGTAAGGCGGCAGGGCCGCTGGTGCGTGGGGCGGCTGGGCCGCTGAGAAGGGCGGCGAGGCCGCTGCGGAAGGGCGGCGGGGCCGCTGAGTAGGGCGGCGGGGCCGCTGAGCAGGGCGGCGGGGCCGCTGAGGAGAAGGGCGGCGGGGCCGCTGAGGAGAAGGGCGGTGGGGCCGCTGAGGAGAAGGGCGGCGGGGCCGCTGAGGAGAATGGCGGCGGGGCCGCTGAGTAGGGCGGCGGGGCCGCTGAGGAGAAGGGCGGCGGGGCCGCTGAGGAGAAGGGCGGCGGGGCCGCTAAGGAGAATGGCGGCGGGGCCGCTGAGTAGGGCGGCGGGGCCGCTGAGGAGAAGGGCGGCGGGGCCGCTGAGTAGGGCGGCGGGGCCGCTGAGTAGGGCGGCGGGGCCGCTGAAGAGAAGGGCGGCGGGGCCGCTGAGTAGGGCGGCGGGGCCGCTGAGTAGGGCGGCCGGGCCGCTGAGGAGAAGGGCGGCGGGGCCGCTGAGTAGGGCGGCGGGGCCGCTGAGGAGAAGGGCGGCGGGGCCGCTGAGTAGGGCGGCAGGGCCGCTGAGTAGGGCGGCGGGGCCACTGAGGAGAAGGGCGGCGGGGCCGCTGAGTAGGGCGGCGGTGCCGCTGAGTAGGGCGGCGGGGCCGCTGAGGAGAAGGGCGGCGGGGCCGCTGAGTAGGGCGGCGGGGCCGCTGAGGAGAAGGGCGGCGGGGCCGCTGAGTAGGGCGGCAGGGCCGCTGAGTAGGGCGGCGGGGCCGCTGAGTCGGGCGGCGAGGCCGCGGAGACGAGCGGCGGGGTCGCGATGCGGGGCGACGGGGCCGCTGTGACGGGTGGCGGGGCCGCACTAGAGGGCGGCGGGGCCGAAACAAAGGGCGGCGGGGCCGCTAGGGGAAGGGGCCGCAAGGGCGTAGGGGGCCGCTAGGGCGGCTTGGCGAGGTGAGAGCCCGGAGCGCGACTCGGGCGGAGCGCGCTTCGTGCAGGAGAGAATTTTTTTTTTTTTTGAAAACTCGATGTGGTGGGCCCTAGGCACAGTTCCCAAGGGGGAACCTGCTCGATACCATGAGGAAAGTAGAACGAGAATGAATGAACTAAGGAATGGAAGTGATACAAATATGCAACCCTAGAAATGTGTACCCCATATGGACTACCCCACTATAGCCTACACAATATTATAATTTGACAGAAAGACACGCACAGAGATCAAACGCAGGCAGACATGCAGTCAGGCAATCTAAGGGAGAATATGAGGAGCCGACAAGGGAAGGGGATGGGGGGAAGCTGGGAAAGGGACACGGGGAAGCAGGGAAGGGGACATGGGGAAGCAGGGAAGGGGATGGGGGGAAGAAGGGAAGGGGACACGGGGAAGCAGTGAAGGGGATGGGGGGGAACCGGGAAGGGGATGGGGGGAGGAAGGGACGGGGATGGGGGGAAGCAGGGAAGGGGATGGGGGAATATAAGGGAAGGGGATGGGGGGAAGAAGGGAAGGGGATGGGGGGAGGAAGGGTAGGGGATGGGTGGAAGCAGGGAAGGGGACACAAGGAAGCAGGGAAGGGGATGGGGGGGAAGCAGGGAAGGGGATGGGGGGAAGAAGGGAAGGGGACACGGGGAAGCAAGGAAGGGGAAGGGGGGAAGCAGGGAAGGGGATGAGGGGAAGCAGGGAAAGGGACATGGGGAAGCAGGGAAAGGGACATGGGGAAGCAGGGAAGGGGATGTGGGAATATAAGGGAAGGGGATGGGGTGAAGAAGGGAAGGGGACACGTGGAAGCAGGGAAGGGGACACGGGGAAGCAGGGAAGGGGACATGGGGAAGCAGGGAAGGGTTTGGGTTGTGGAAGGGAAGAGGATGGGGGGAAGATGGGAAGAGGATGGGGGAGAGCAGGGAAGGGGATGGGGGGAGGAAGGGAAGGGGATGGGGGGAAGCAGGGCAGGGGATGGGGGGAAGCAGGGAAGGGGACACAGGGAAGCAAGGAAGGGGATGGGGGGAAGCAGGGAAGGGGATGGGGGGAAGAAGGGAAGGGGACACGAAGAAGCAGGGAAGGGGGGAAGCAGGGAAGGGGATGGGGGGAAGCAATGAAAGGGACATGGGGAAGCAGTGAAAGGGACATGGGGAAGCAGGGAAGGGGATGGGGGAATATAAGGGAAGGGGATGGGGGGAAGAAGGGAAGGGGACACGGGGAAGCAGGGAAGGGGACATGGGGAAGCAGGGAAGGGGATGGGGGAATATAAGGGAAGGGGATGGGGGGAAGAAGGGAAGGGGACACGGGGAAGCAGGGAGGGGGACACGGGGAAGCAGGGAAGGAGACATGGGGAAGCAGGGAAAAGGAAGGGGGAATATAAGGGAAGGGGATGGGGGGAAGAAGGGAAGGGGACACGGGGAAGCAGGGAAGGGGATGGGGGGAAGAAGGGAAGGGGACACGGGAAAGCAGGGAAGGGGATGGGGGAAAGCAGGGAAAGGGACACGGGGAAGCAAGGGAAGGGGATGGGGAGAGGAAGGGACGGGGATGGGGGGAAGCAGGGAAGGGGATTGGGGGGAAGCAAGGAAGGGGATGGGGGGAAGAAGGGAATGGGATGGGGGGAAGCTGGGAAGGGGACATGGAAAAGCAGTGCGGGAAGCCCAGGGGAAACAGTGAAGAGGATGGGGGGAAGCATTTCGTGGGGAGCGGGGGAAGATGTCGGGGAGAGAGCAATCCGAAGAACGGTGGGGAGCCCGAAAATGGTGTGGGGAGCCCGGAAATGGTGTGGGGAGCCCGGAAATGGTGTGGGGAAGGAGAGAGGTAAGCGGTGTGGAGGTGAAAGGCGATCATTAGGGGAAGGGCCACCGTGTGTGTGGGTTGGAAAGGGGGCGTGACTGGTCCAAATGAGTTGGGAAGGGAGATGGGAGGGATGGCGACAGTGACGGAGATGCCAGGGCGACGAGGGGAGAGATACGGGGATTGCGAAGGGACGAGCGGGAGGGAGGGCGATGAGCAGCAGGTAGCGCGACGAGACAAAGGGGGGCAACGGGCGGAACGGAGCGCGACGAGGGGAAGGTATGGCGTGTTATAGACTAAGGACGGAGTTTATGAAGATTAGGTGCCTAGATTTCTCAAAATCGTTAGTCTCTATTTCTGGACAGAATAGTCGCGCTCACAAGAAATGCCGTCCACGAAAACTTCACCAAACTCATATATGATGTAGCCCTAGTCCGTGGCTACAATTCCCAATTCGAATCGTATCAAGAGGTGAAGTAAATCTCGACTTATCAATTTCGGCGCACAGGGGGGTATGCTGCCATAAGAACTTAACTCAATCACAAGAGTCTCACAATTTCACAACAAATTACACAAGAGAGTTAGAGTAGCACTAAACCAGGTGGAAGGGATGAGGAGGACGAGAGGGAAGGTCCCAAGAGAGTCATCAGCCAAGGAAACCCCATGCCACACAATTCCCTTCCCCATAGGCAACCCAACTTTGACCTTTGTCACTATCCCAACCTCCACAATCCACCTCAACCCAACTTGGCCACACTTGCCAGCCTGGTTTGGTTTCTCCCAACCATTTGGCAGCAACTACAGTAGAAAAGACGAATTTTCCAACCCCCAAAAGTCTGTACCCCATATTGAGTCAACCCCACAACTTCCCACAGTTCCCACATGAGAAAACTGAAACGAGAGTGAATGGACTGTGAATGAACTGAATACAAGTACTTACCCTTATTGGGTTGTACCCCTTGTGGGCTACCCCACTATGGCCTACACAATAAGCACAAGCTATATGTTTTGACACACCCCCATAGGCAAAGTGGGGGAGAACAAGGGGTCACAAGACCAGTCAAGCAAAGCAAAGCAAAGCAAGCTCAGGGTGGATCACAAAGTCACCACACATTCCGAGCACAAGTTCAAGGCCACAAGGCCAGTTCACATGCAGGAGTACATATATATAACGGACTAAACAAGCAAGAGCAGGTGTATATATATGCAACAGTACAAGCAAGGTCAAGAGGTGAGCAAGTGAGGCAAGACAGGCACAAGACCCAGCTGCGTGCAGAAGCGCTGATGATCACAAGGCGCAGGTGCCTTGGTGAAGACATCAACAGTGTTGGCCTCAGAGGCCACGTACGCAAGCCACAACTGACCACACTGCTGTAGCTCACGAGCAAGAAAGTAGCGAAGAGCAATGTGCTTTGTTCTGTACTCCAGTATCTGCTCTCCACAGAGGGCCAGCATGGCCTTGTTGTCTACGTACAGGACTGGAGGAGAACGAGGCGGCTCTCCAAGGTCGGTCAGCAGGTAGGTGAGCCAGCGAAGCTCCTGTGCAGCCATGGCCCCGGCGTAGATCTCAGCCTCACAACTAGGCCGAGAACAGAAGACGAGCGGGTAGCCCGCCACGAAACAAAGCCAGAACCAAGGCTGAAGGTGTAACCCTGTGACGACCGCTGCGTAGCCTGGTCGTCAGCCCAAGAAGCGTCCGCGTGCCCAGTGAGGACCACTGGACTCTGCCCTCCAAGCACAAGCCCCATGCCCGACGTACTGCACAAGTAGCGCAACACCCTCTTTGCTGCAGCCATGTGCTCTAGTCTGTGTCTCCGAGGAGCAACATAGCGTGTCAAGATGCTAAGAGGGTATGCAAGGTCAGGTCGTGTGCAGGTCATCAGGTACATGAGGCAGCCAACAAGCTCTGGGTACGGGCCACTCGACTCTACGGACTCATCCGAAGGCAGAGCTCAGAGCGAGTGGCGAGTAGGCAGAGGAGTGGCCTGAGGCGAGGAGTACGTGAAGCCGAAGCGCTGAAGGACCTGCTGCACCATGTGTGACTGAGTCAGAGTAATGGTGCGGCGTGCTCTATCCCGGGTGATCTGCAAGCCAAGGTAGCTGCGCAGTTCACCCAGGTCTGTGCACGTGTGTCTCTTCTGCAGCTCCGACTTCACGTAGGCGAGTCCAGCAGTGTCAGCTGTGGCAAAGACCAAATCGTCGACGTACACGAGGATGTAGAACGGCGGCAGAGAGGTGTCGGTGCGCAGAAACAGCGACGGGTCGGCAGTAGAAGGAGCAAACCCAAGAGCCGCAAGCGTAGTCCTCAGTGTGTCGTGCCACTCACGTGGCGCCTGGCGGAGACCGTAGACTGGACGCCGGAGACTCCACTGGGTACCAGGAGGGAAAGACCCAGTGAAGCCAGGTGGGCGGCGCAGCCAGATCTCCTCGTGCAGGCTGCCCTGCAAGAAAGCTGTGCTGAAGTCAAGAGAGTGCAGCTCGTAGTCACGGTGAGCAGCAACGTGCAGCAGTACCCGAAGAGTGGTCATCTTCGGGGTGGGAGAGAAGGTCTGAAAGTAGTCAACTCCCTACCGCTGACTGAAGCCACGAGCCACGTAACGCGCCTTGAAGACAGGCGGAGAACCCGGCGGCCGCTTCACCCTGAAGATCCACATGCCACTGACGATGTTCGCCCCAGGAGGGGGGACAGCGTCAACGTAGGTGCCTGCGGACTTCCAGGAAGCCATCTCTGCATCCATAGCTGCCTCCCACTGAGAGGAGTAGGGACCCTCTATCGCCTCCGCGTAAGAGCGCGGAGTCGGGATGTCAAGTGCATCCGGGTCTCCCTCAGGGGTAAGTAGTACGGACACGAGATGAGGTGAAGCAGCTTCCAAGCACTGGAACTCCTCCTGCCTGTCCTCAAGGACGTCCGTGCCAAGGGCACACTCACCCCCGATGGACGGAGGACAGACAGACTCAGACTCAGCGACAAGACTAGCAGCGTAGTCTAGGCGACAGCGAGCAGCAAAGTCGACGAGCTCAGCAACTAGGGCAGACGCAGCAGTGGACTCGAAAGAAGGGTCAGTGACAACAGTAGCCAGGAGACGCGTGACAGTAGGACTAGCAGCACGAAGAGAGTCCGACTCCGGGTCGGCAAGAGCAGGAAGAGAAGACTCAGGAGGAGAAGGCAAAGGGGCACGCAAAGGAGCAGTGGACGGACGCAGAGACATCTGGTGCGTGCCAGGGACAGGAGGAGGATGCTGACGCAAACTGCGACCACTAGTGCGAGCAGCACGGACAGGAGACGCAGGGCGAGACGCAGGCTCACGACGCTCAGCAAGACCTCCAGTAGGACCAGTGTAGGGAGACGGAGCAGGCAGTGGGGAGGCCGGCTGTAACTGTAACTGCGACGGGACAGGCTGTGGACAAGCGGGAGGAGGAGAAGTACCAGTAGAAGACGGGAGACCAAGAACCTGCTGAAGGAGCGGAACGAAGTATGGCCGAGGCCGCGTGGCGACTCCAGACACAGCAGGGACAGCACCAGCACCCCCAGCGGCAGCACCAGCGCCAGGAGCACCTCCAGCTCCCGCACCTCCAGCAGCACCAGTAGTACCCGCAGCAGGACCGCTAGCAGCAGTCTTTGCTCCAACGCCCTCAGCAGCACTAGCTCCAGTCGAACCCGCAGGCTCGGCAGCTCCAGTACTCCCAGTACGAGCACCTCCAAGACCCGCGACAGCAGCACCCTCAGTAGCCGAAGAACCTCCAGCACCAGCAGCACGCCTCCAGCGCCGGGCAAACCACTCGCGCAGCTCCCGTGGAGAGAGTGGCTCCCACAGAGACGAAGCACCCGGAGAACCTCCAGGCGGAGCACCTTCAAGCTCAGCACCCCCAGGCTCAGCACCCCCAGGCTCAGCACCCTCAGGCTCAGCACCCCTAGGCGCAGCACCCCCAGGCTCAGTACCCCCAGGCTCAGTACCCCCAGTCACAGCACCCCCAGGCTCAGTACCCCCAAGCTCAGCACCCCCACGCTCAGTACCCCCAGGCTCAGCACCCCCAGTGTCAGCACCCCCAGCCTCAGCACCCTCAGCAGCACCAGAGTCACCAGTGACCTCGACAGGCTCGACCGCGTCTACCTGGGACACACCTGAAGGGGCGGACCCTGAGGGGGGAGGGGGTCTACCGGAGGGGGACCTGGTACAAGGAAGAGCGGCGGCGGGGGGAGGGACGGAGTGCGGTAGGGGAAGAGGTGGTAGTAGGGGACCGACTCGTCAAACGTAACGTCCTTGGAGGACAGAACACGGCGAGAGGTGGGGTGGTAGAACTGCCACCCAGGCGCGTCAGGGGGGAACCCCAGGAAGACGCAAGGAGCAGCACGAGGGGACAGCTTGTCCGCAGACAAGTCGCGGACAAACGCCCGAGATCCCCAGACCCGGAACGCCGACGCATCGCCAACCTTCCCCGTCCACAGCAAGGCTGGGCAGGTCTCCAGCCTGGAGACCCTGGGGTGTAGGTTGAGCTGATGCGCGGCGTACCTCACCGCAAACGGCCACAGAAAATGGGGAGCAGCCGCATGCATCATAGACGTACGAGCGACGTCCATGACCATGCCAATGCGGCGCTCAGCAATCCCATTTTGCTGCGGGGAGTCCGGAAGCGTGAAGGTCTGCCGAATCCCTCGTGCGCGATAGTAGGCTCTCAAAAGGTCAGAAGAAAACTCTCCGCCTCTGTCCGAGTGCAGACGCAGAACAGGAAAGTCCGAGCCAAAGCTCTGCCTGAGCTGGAGAGGAGCTGCGCGGATCCAGTTGATCAGCACCTCAGTGACATCACCCTTGCTGCGCAAGGGGAAGACTGTGGTGTAACGCGAGTAGTCGTCAACCACCAGCAGGAAGTAGCACTCGTGACCCTGTCCACGGACGCGGGCCGGGCCCCACACGTCCATGTGAAGCGTCTGCAGCGGGGCCTCTGTCGGAGGAAACTGGGAGGAGTGAGGGGCAGCCCGCTGCCGCCCCTCGACACAGGGGACGCAGGTAGGGCCAGGCCTGGGAGGAAGGGGAGGGGGGGACCGGGGAAGACCA